ACCCCTTTTTCCATTCTTTTCCCTCTCTCTCCATCTCTTGGTCCCTTTCCTTTTACAAAAAATCTATCTCCCTCAAATCCATTATAATTACAGGGAAAAAAATAAAATGTGGTTGTATTAGACAGCATATTTACATGTCTGTTCAATCTAGTAATTGCTATAACACTAGTCCTATTATGAAAAATCAAAATGTAAAGTTATTCCATTGTTTTTAACACTTTTCAATGAACATATTAATTTTATTATACATTTTTTTAAAATAAATAAAATATATATCCAGTCTGCGTGATTCATCCTTGATTGACATCCTGTTAACAAGGCAGGGAAGCAACAGGTGAGTGTTTAGAAATTTCTGTAACGGAAATGAACATCATGCCTAACAGATTGGGTGGCCACACCAGATAGTATCTAAGGAAACAATCCCAGGCAGCCAGGGGGAGATAAACTGCCCACGTTTATTTTGGAACAGAAAAATTTCTGCTGCATTTTACCTTAACTCAAAACTTAATTCCTACTTGTGAAAAAAAAATTATAAACTAGAAAAGACTACTTTGACAACAACAGTAATTATTACAAGTCACCATAAATTCAATGTAAACCCACAATTTTGTTCACCTTAAATTCCATGGTTTTCATAATTTTCTTTCTGGATGTCCTTGGAATGAGGGAAAAATAAATATAGTAAGATACATTCTCTTCTAATTTTTCAAACTAATTCCCTGACTTGGGGCTAAATACTGGTTTTCAGAATTATGCACTGTTGAGACATGGGAATGCTGCGTAGACAGGCAAACTCCCTTGCCTTGTCTTCATCTGGTTCACCTGTAAGAAGTTATAGAAAAGGCGGGGCAGACAACCACATTCTTCTGAAATCTGTTCACCACCATTTCTTTCCACCACTGAGTGCATATTCAAATATATATGAGGGTCACAAAAACAAAGACTTACATTTGCTATCGAAGAAAATATTCAAAGGATCATGCAAAACGAGTAAAGAAAAATGCAGCTCTCCTTTTAGGCCATTATTACTGTGAATAATTATAGCACAGCAAATACTCATCTAGCATTCCGTCTTGACCATTTTCCTCCCTGCATTAAACTATTTAAATGAATACTGTCTCTGGCATAATTTTTTAAACTTTGACTCAGAGAGCAATGCATTTGACAGCTCTTAACCTTCATGTGCCATCACTGCACAATCGAGACCTTAGATGGGCAGGACACCTCCTGCTTACTTATTTTCTTTACTGTGATCATGCCGCTGCTCCATAAGAAAATGTCACCTTCCATTGCATTAGCACAGTAATAACCTTTTCTTGCATTCCTGGTGAAGGTAAATCATGATAAATAATGTCAACCTTAATTTTCTGGTACTTTACACTAAGTCACAGAGAAATCATTTATAAAATTCTTTGCCCCACGTCCTGCTGGCATAGGAATTTTGAGAGCTGATACAGGCTTCACAAAGCAACTAGAGTTCACCCCTCCAACTTACATCAGTAGAAACTGAGGCACAAACAGAGCAAATGAAGTATCTCAGATCACCCACATCAGTAGTTGCAGGTGCAGGCATGTACGCTGCTAGGGTAGAGCCCTTCACTTCCCACTATTCTTTTTTTAAAATTAAATTTATTCATTCATTTTAGGCATAGAATACAATGACATTCATCACTGGAGATTTGTATCTTTACATAATCTATCTTGATTTTTATTTTTCCCACTTCCTCTGCCCTCCCTTCAACCCCTCCACCCTCCCTATTTATAAAAACTATTTTTCCATTTTTTTCGTTTTCTCATATTAACTCTATTTCCCTTCCCTTTGCCCTACACCTCCCACTTCCCCTTCCCCTTTGCACCTTTTCTTCCTATTCACATTATCTATTATACATTTTCATTCTTATTTACACTTTCAGTTTCTCACACCAGAGAAACGATTTGGTATTTACACATATGTGTCCTGTTTATTTCACTTAAGAGAATCACCTCAATATGCATCCATTTTGCTGTACATCCTCTAATTTCTCATACTTTATGGCTGAGTAGTACTCCATTTTATTAAAAACCCACATTTTCTTATCCAGTTTCCAGTTGGCAATTGGCGTGTTTCCATGTTTTAGCTATTACAAACTGTGCTGCTATAAACATGGGTGCACATATATCGCTTTGTTATGATTCTTTTAATTCTTTTGGGAAGATACCCAACAGGGGAATAGCTGGGTTAAATGGGACCTTTAGTCCTCATTCTTTGAGGTATCTCCATACTGATTTCCACAGTGGTTGCTCCAGTCTACACTCGCATCAGCAGTGGAGAAGGATTACTTTCTCCCCACAACCTTGCCAGCATATTTTATTAGTCCACTTCATGATAGCAGCCATTCTTTCTGGAGTGAGGTGGAATCTCAATATTGTTTTCATCTGCATCTCTTGAATGACCAGTGATATTGAACAATTTTTCATATGTTTATTTGCTATTTCTACTTCTTTGAGAAATGTCTGTTCATTTCAGATGACCATTTTTGCATTGGGTCTTTAAATTTAGGAGGTCTGATTTTTTTGAGTTCTTTATATTTTCTAGATAGTAGACCTTTGTCAGAAGAACAGCTGATAAAAATTTTTCCCACACTGTGGGTTGTCTCTTCACACTGTTGGGGGTTTCTCTTGCTGTGCAGAAGCTTTTTAATAAAAAAAAAACTTGTTGATTCTTTGTGCCAGTTCATGTGTGACTTAGGTTTTGTTCATGAAATCTTTTCCTACACCAATGTCTTCAAGAGTTCTACCTAACCTGTCTTCCAGCCAGTTTAGTGTTTCTGTTTTAATATTTAGATCTTTGATCCACTTCTATTTTAATTTAGTGCATAGACTTCCCACCATTCTTATTTTGTTTTCTTTTGATTTTTACCACAGAAAGCTTTTATTTATTTCTTCAAATTAACCAAATTTTTCTACTTTTGCAGAAAACAAATTCCAGAAATTTCCCCAATAATACTTCAAAATAAATATATCAAATTTGGTTTTTATTATAAAAAGTGTAAAGACCAATACTCAGGTGATTATATACATATGATACATATGATATATGTGATATATGTGATATATTGCAATGCACATATATATATATGTGAGTAATTATTGACCTTCAAATTCCGGAAAAGATTGCCAAGTTAGGTCCTTATATTTGTCTTTTTTGCCAGCACTACACCAACCCCATCTGAGAAATGCTTTCTCCACTGCTATCTCTGACACCAATTACTTACCCAGGATCAAGATGTCTGGCAAGGCCTCTTGCTTTGTTGGCAGCATTCCTTTTTGCCTTTGATTTTCTATCATTAGATTCACTCCATATAGAGAAATTTTTTTTGCACTATCTTTTTTTTTTCTTACCAGATGTTTGGGAATTAAGAAACCCTTCAATGAATTCTAAATGATCTAAGTTTCCTTCACGTTCTCAAGTATCATACATATCTGTAAATCTCTTCCACCTTCCCATTCACTTCAAGTTACTGGAAGTCTCTACCACAAATTCTTTGTTGCTTTGACTTTTTACTCTTGCCATTCTATTTGTCTCTCTCTCTCTCTCTCTCTCTCATCTGTCTGTCTGTCTGTCTGTCTGTCTCTCTCTCTCTCGCTCTCTCTCATGTGTAGTGTAGTGTACTATACTGTAGTTTAGTTTTATTGGAGGCCATATTTTTTGCAGGATCGCACAGCTATCATTCTCTACCTCTGATGTGCTCTAGGTGCAAGGTCTGCATTATCTCCCCCACCTGTACTTATCTGGTTTACGACATAATGGAATAAAACTGATCTAATGATTAAACAAAGGCCAGAGTGTATTGAATAACTTCAGATGCTCAGAACTTTCAGTGTTAAAAATTCAAATCCCCAGCTCCAGACACTCATAAAACATTTCAGTTTCTAAGTGTGTCCTGAAAGAGAATTTTCTCTCCTTTACCCACAAAGCTAATTGTAGAAACCCGAACAGGAGCCCTCATACTTTGATTGGCTGACATACAGCACAAGTTTAATGCTCCGTCTCAAAGAGTGTCTGAAGTGAAAGTGAGCTCTGATTCAAAAACAATGGGACCCTATAAATTGGGACGAAGGTGTTTGAGAGGCTGACAAGGCAGAGGGCACTGAGCTCCTAGCCTATATTCTAATGAGATTATTTTGTCAGAGGAAGAGATTTCCACACCCACAATGTTGGAGGCATTTCCATCTTCATCCTCTGTGGTGTTGGCCTCTCCGACTGTACCTGAGAAAACTAATCCTGTGTTGACTAAGCATGATAAAGCTGACTCCTCAGGAACCTTCTCACCACCCACTTTTGCCTCTAGGCCTATGAGCAGGTTCAAACCACAGAAGGCTCCGAAAGGTGAGGTACACAGTGTGACTCATAAGGGAGTCCACTATTCCTCCCAAAGAACTTTTTGAATTTTTTAACTCTTTTATGCAGAGGCCTGCTGAATAAGTGTGGGAATTGATATTATGGGTGTCAGATAATGCTGGCAAAAGCACACACCTGGATCAGGCCAAGTTCATCGATACAGGTCCATTAAGTAGAGATTCTGAAATTAATGTCACAGTTCACGGAATAAAAAAGACATTCATAGTTTATTTGGCTGGTTGGCGGAAGTAGGGGTCAAAGATGGTCCACTGTGAATGACTTAAGGATGCCTAATATTTCTTGGTTTACTGTTCATGAAGCAATTCAAAGGCTCAGAGAAATGGGAATGATGAGCAGACTTGTCATGTTAAATCTGACCCTCAACACTGCAATAACCTCAACAATGTACCCTGAATTAACCCCTTAAGAAATAGATGCACAAGGGAAACACTAGCATCCCTGAAGAGCCGTATCACTGCTTTTCTCTGTATTCCAGTCCTTACAGTGGGGACCACAGTGACTCAACTGGGAATTTTAAGTGCAGTGGTTTTAAATGGATTCCAAAGTAGCAGGGATAGGCAGCAAATGCAATCAACATAGACCAGGTGGGTATACTTACCGTAATGGACAGCAGAACAGAATCGTAGCATGCCATGTTCCAGAACGGTGGAGGCCTAGAGAATTTGCTCCTCAGGACTGGGTTCATAGTGCTCAGCAATCCAGGCATTCAATCCTCAAAGCCAAGAGGGAAACCTGACTACTGCTCCAGTCGGCAGCAGACCTCGGCATCATCAACACCGTGCTGGTATTAGGCATATTCAAAATGCAAGAGTTACATGGTCAGGAAGGCTTCTACCAAGATTTCAGAGGACCTGGGAGATCAAGCAGTGTGCCCCTAAAAAGGCCCCAGAAAGGACACACAGTGAAGCTGTGCAAAGCCTAAAATGCAGAGGAGACCCCAGAAGGTTGGAGAAGCCAGGAACATGGATCATCTGAGGAAAGCCTCAAGGAGTAAGCAAAGCCAGCCCAAGAGTTTGTCTAGGAGGGCTACAATGTTCGGAATTGGAATGCAGCCACAAAAGCCCTCTGGAGTTCACATCTTGCCACAGATTACCCCAGCTGCTGGACATGAAAATATAGGACTTAATGTTTGCCCTGCTGGATTTTAGTCTCACTTTGGTCCCATCCCTTCCAATTCCCCTGCCTTTGTTACTTTCTCATTGCTGGGACAAAATACCTAACACCTACAAGTTAAAGGAGGAAAGATTAAAGGAGGTTAAAGGTTAAAGTTGGAGGAAAGGCTCACACTTTATAGAGGCTTCAGTCCATATTTGGTTGGCTCCAAGGCAGCACAGCATGGTAGAGGGGCATCACAGAGGATAAACAGTCCATTGTATGGCAGACAGGAGGAACCAAGCCTGCCTTTTTCTTTCCCTTTATAGTCCATCCAAGCTATAAGCCTATAGATTGGTGCCACCAGTGCCTAAGATGGGGCTTCCCCTTACTTGTTTAATGTTTTTTTTGTTTTGTTTTGGGTACCGGGGATTGAACTCAGGTCCTTGTGCTTGCAAAGCAGGCAGCAGAACCACTGAGCTAAATCCCTAGCCCATTTTAATCAATGGACTACTCTTAACTAATTGCCACATCTTTAACCCATATTCATACATCCTAGATCCAGCCACCTCTGAAAAGCCCTACCTAAGGGTGCAAAAGGCTTTGGACATCTAAATGAAAGCCATTTAACTCCCTCTTTTTACTTTTTTGAATGGGAATGTTTATTTTATGCCATTATACATGGGAAGTGTTTAACTTTCTTTTCCTTTTTACAGGGGCTCAGAGGTCAGAGTTTGCCTTAAATCTCAGAGGAGAATTTGGACTTGGATTTTTCAGCAATGTTTTCAGAAACAGGAATTTGAAAATTCTTAGAGATAAACTAATTGTATTTTGCATAAAACTAACTGTATTTTGCATGAGTCTTTTGGGGTCCAGGGGCAAAATGTTATGGCTTATACTTAGATGTTCCTAAAGCCTCCTGCTCTCATAGGTGGAGTTTTTGAGAGATGACTGGGTCATGGGTATTGTGATACTGGACCATGGTTATACGATACTGGATCAGTCCACTAATTGGTGTAGCATCAATTGGGTGTGAGTTTTGGACATAATGAAACGAGAAGACCTGCCTTTGATGTGAGTGGTACTAACACATAGGCTTGTAGCCTAGATGGAATATAAAGAGAAAGAGGAATGAAGGCCCTGCTTCTTCCTGCATGCCCTGCCATGGACTGTTTCTCCTCTGCCATGCCCCTCTGCCATGCTGCCCTGCCTTGGACCTAAGAAAATATCAACTAAAACCTCTCCAACTGTGAGTCAAAATAAACCTCTTCTCCTTTAACTTGTGGATATATTTTATCCTAACAACAAGAAAGTAACTAAAACAAGCACAAACAAAAATAGCCTCACTGAAAAACCTGCCCTCAAAAAAGGAGGAAAGAGAAATCTAGCAAGACAGAAAGCCTGTAGATAATAATTCTAGCTCCAGCTCCAAAGCATGAAAAAGCTGCAACACCCTCCACAACTGAGGACAATTGACGGGCTTTCCCCATACCAGGCTGTGGGAAATGCCTCAAGCAGTGATGGCAAACCATTAGAGCCCAAGTCTCCAAACTGCAACCCAAACCCACTTACTTATGCAAATATTTATTGCCAGGACTGCAGTGAAATCTGAATATCTGATGCTCAGATGCTAGGGTGATACTTGGGGTGAGTTGGCTAAGGAGCCAACAAAGATGGCTCTGTATGCTCACTGTAGCACACATGGCATAGGCTTGCTACCACTGGCCAAAACCCTCTACCAGGGTGTACTAGAGAAGTTAAATAGGGAGCCAGGACTTTCAACCCCTTTGAAAGTGCCAAGGTCTCTCCCTAATACAGTGTGTTATATAGGAGGCCACATGGGCAGCTGGAATGTCCACCCCCACATGGTGACCCATGAAGCAGTATTGGGGCCCCACTCCTCAGTGTCACTGGAGTCCAAGTGAAAACCGTAAATAAGACGTCCCGTTCCTTCACAGCTAGGGGAATGACAGTGGTGGCCTAGTTACTACCACATCCCCTTGGTTTTAATGCAGAACCCTAATAACCACAAGATGCCAAGGAAAACCAAGAAGGGACCTACCTATACTTCCACCTCATATAGTAGTTATGAGGCAAGGACTCCTTCCTCCACTGGTATAATAGCAGAGGAGTTCTTCCAAACTACAAGATTTAAATAAATTTCACCATGTAATACTCAAAACTAAAATCACTCATCAAAATACAAACCAGGAAATCCTCAACACAAATGAGAAAAGGTAACAGATGCTAACACTGAGATGGCACAGAGGTTAGACTTGTTTGACAAAAATTTTAATGTTTCCATCTTAAAAATGTCTCAACAAGCAATTACAAACATATTTGAAACAAATGATAAAAATAGAAATTCTAAGCAAAGAAAATTGTCAACAAGGAAATAAAATATAAAGTGAAACTGATAGAATCACACTATTCTGATTTAAAAATCTGTAGTTATAGTAATTCAAACATAATGATTCTGGCATAAAGATACATAAACCAATGAAATAGAATAGCAAATTTAGAAATAAACCTGTGTACTTATGCTCAACTGATTTTTCCACAAAGACGCCAAAAATATGCAGTGTGGGAAAGGAGTCTTTTCAATAAACAGTGTTAAAATAAGTGACTATCAACACCCAGAAATTAAATTCTTATCTCAAACCATTTATAAAAATCAACTCAAAATAGATTAAAGATTGAAACATAAGACCTGAAACTGTAAAACTACTAGAAGAAAACATACGAAAAAATGGCTATTTGACAATCTTCTAAGCAATGATATTTTGGATATGAGCCCAAACACACAGGCAAACAAAACCAAAAATAGACAAATGAGATTTTTATCACACTAAAATCCTCATGTACCTCAAAGGAAACAGTAAACAAAATGAAAAGAAAAAACCCAAAATGGCAAAAATATTTGTAAACCATTTTTGCTAATATCAAAAATATATAAGGAACTCAAATAACTCAATAGCAAGAAAAAATTGCTCAATTAAAACAGATAATTGTCAAAATAAGTCATACTGATAGCTATAGTAATCGGTATATTGGTACATGAAATAATACTCAATATTGCTAATCATCACAGAAATACAAATCAAAATAAAATGAGATTTTGCCTTATATCTATACAAATGACTATTATCAAAAACAAAAGATAAGTATTGGCAAGAGTGTAAAGAAAGGGGAACCCTTTTACCTTGTTGATGGGAATGTAAGTTAGCACAACCACTAGGAAACAGTATGGAGGTTTCTCAAAATATTAAAAAAAGAACTATTGTGTGACCCAGAAGTCCACTAATAGTTATATATGCAAAGAAAATGGAATCAGAACATTGAAGAGACATTTGCACTTCCATATTCATGACAATACTATTCACAATATTCAAAATATAGCATAAAGCTGTGTTCACCAACAGATGAAGGGATAATGTGATATAACCACCCAACGAAACACTACTTAGCCTTGTGTTTAAAAAAGGAAATCCTATCATCAGCAACAAAATAAATTAACTTGAAAGACATAATGTTAAATAAAATAAGCCAGATACATAAAGACAAATACTGCATTATTATCATTCTTATGTAGAATCTAAAAAAAAGTCAAAGTCATAAAAATACAGAATAGAATGGTGATTATCAGAGTAGTTTGGGAGGTAGTGATGGATAAAGAGATGTTGGTCAAACAATATAAAATTTCTGAGACAGGAGAGATATATTAAAGAGACCTATTGTATAACATGGTAATATAATGGTTAATAAGTACACATTGTACATTTGAAAATTGCTAAGGACAGATTTGAAGTGTTCTCAACTATAAATAACTGGCATGTGAAGGATTGTATATGTCAATTTGCTTAATTTAGTGATTCTACAAGGTGCACAAATTTCAAAACATCATGTCATATATTATAAATATATACAATTAATTTTTTATTTTTAAAAGGACCAAGTGGAAATTTGGGAATTGAAAAATATATTCATCAAAATTAAAAGCGTGATGCATTAACAAACAGCAGATAGGAAATGATAAAGGAACAGATCAGTGAGCTTGAAGATGAAGCCACAGGAATTAGCCAACCTTCACAAAAGAAATAAATGAGCGAAGCCTCAGGAAACTGTAGAACCATAATTTTAAAATCTAGTATTCATGTTACTGGCATTCCATAAAGAAAGAAAGAGTGCCTCTGACCTTTCTTCCTTCATGCCTGGTCAGTGGGCAGTGCTTGCCTCTTCACCTGCTTTTCTCCTCCCTAGACTCTGAGTACTAGGAGAGCACGAACGGCTTCTCTGTGGTCCCAGCACAGTGGTATCCACATGGTGAGTAATCAGTGAACATTAAGTAAATGTATACACTCCTTTCTATTTTCATATTTTCCTATGTATTTTGTACAACATTTATGAGGCTTAAAATCAAAATCTATTTTACTTTCGGTACAGAAAGTCAGAGTGACAAATTTACAACACCTATCCACCACCAAAAAACACCTAAAGAGTGGAGAAATAATTTGCTCCCAAGGAGACAATCTACTTGAATCTAATTCAATATCAAGAACAATATTTTCAAATGATACTGT